GGTGTAAGACTGTCCCTGGCAGCTCCACACCCCTGTGGCCAGGGAGCTGCAGCCCTTGGCATCTGCTGTTTCAAAGCAGAGAGACCTGCAGGCAGTGAAGCCTGGCTCGAAACCAGCCAGCCTGACACCCCGGCAGCCCCAGTGTCCCCAGAGCATGGCATCGACCACCCCCACACGGGGCACGGCTCCAGAAGAGGATGGAGAGAAGCCAGGGAGGAAATCCAGGAGCTGCTGGCAGTTTGGAGCGGGTTTCACTGCGTTATTGGTCCAGCCTATCCAGACACGAGTTCCAGCAGGTCTCACGAGGGCTCTGCGTTTGCTTGAAGAAAAAACCCCTGATGGAAGAGCTGGGCAAAGGTGAGGGTGAGGCTGAAGGGCCCTCTCCCTCCTCTTAGGCTCCTGGGCTCAGTATTGCCGCAGGTTGAAAAACCCGACGCTGGTGGGGGACTCCTTGACCGTCACTGTGATCAGGTTAGCGGTGACATCGGTGACAAAGACGTGCTCAATCAGGCTGCGGGTGGGTTTCCAGTCCTGGCTGGTCTGGATGGAGACAGACATGTTCTGACCCACACCTGGGAGGGAAGCAGAATCCCGGTCCGAATCCGAGCTGGTGTCCTCGCCTGTGCTCGCTTCGGACAGGGCGGAGGCTTTGCGGCTCTCTGTGGCCACGTGTCCCTCTGGAGCGCCCGCTGAGCCACCTTTGGCCGAGTCCCTGTCACCTGCCCGGTGTGTCTGCTTCCTGCTCTTGCCGGCGTCCCCCCCTGGCAGTGCAGCAGCACCGGCAGCGTTCAGCCCGGCCCCTGTCACACCACCCTTGGCACTGCCAGCACCCTTGGAACCCGCACTGGCCATGCAGGCAGCGGAGCCCTTGGCCAGGGAGCCGCAGAGGTGCCTGGGCAGGCTGCTCCCGCTGGCCGCGCTCGGCCCATTTTTGACGCTCTGCAGGTTCAGAGCCTGGAGGTTCAGCTCCTGGCTGGAGGCTGCCTGGCTGCTGGCCCCAGATGAGCTCGACGGTGCCTTGCTGCTGTTGGGCAGCATCTGGCCTCCAGCAGCAAACCCCGATTTCTGGTCCCCTCCAGAGCTGCTGCCGGAAGCCTTTGCAGTTTTGGGTCCCTGTGTGTTCAGTCCCAGCTCCCCAGAGCCTTTCTGGCTCCTCATTTTCAAGTCCAGCCCTAAGCTGCCCTTACTGGCTGCCTGTGCCTTCAGCGCCAGCCTGCCCAGGGTCGAGCTTTCGGCTGCGCTCTGGCTTTGGGACATCCTGTTCATGTAGTGCACGATGGAGCTCTGCCAGCTGATGGCCTGGCTGGGGCTCGCTGAGCCGCTCTTCATCATGTTGGGCAGGTTCTCCACTGAGGAGCCCCCTGAGCTGAGCCCAGCCAAGGTGCCCGGTGGATCCTTCAGCATAGCCATGCCTGAGCCCTGTGTGCTGTGCTGGGGCTGCAGCTTCCCCACCAGCTTGGCACTGCTCCCCACCTCCTTCCGGGACGTTTTCAGCACCTTTGTCAGGTTCACAGTCCTTCGAGCTGCTTTCTGCTCTGGGGGAAGAGGTTTCCGGCCACGCTTCTTCCTGGAAGCGTCTTTCATGTCGGGCTTGGCCACCAGGATCTGAGCTTTCTTCTGCGGCACCGGGTGCGTCTCCCTACTGCGGGGACCTCTCTTTGCTTCCAGATCACTCTCATCCTCTTCCTCGGAGGAGGAGGAAGAGGAGGATGTGGAGGAAGAGGAGCTGCTTGACTTAGTTTTCGCAGGCATCTCTGGTTCCTGCAAAGCAGCAGAGACAGGGAGAGTTAACAGCAGTGACCAAGGAGTGGTTATGGGCACTATAAACCCTCCAGGGTGGCCTGGCCAGGGGCCTCAGACACGGCCAGGTTCTCTCTCTCTGTAGCTGATCTTCAGGGGTCCATCAGCTGATGGGACGAGTTGTGTGCTCGAGGCCTCCCCCAAACCCCGGTGCCCTCCAAAGCCAGAGCCCCTCCAGAGCTGCCCCAGCACTGCTGGGACTCACCACGTTCTTCCTGGGCCTGCCCCGGGGCCGCTTGCCCCTCTTCCGATTCTGCACTTCTTTCTCGTGTTCCCTGCAGGAAACAAGGATTAAAGACAATGTTTATGGGGAAGAAAAAACATTTGGGGAAACTGAGGCAGCCAGGTAGTGACAGGACAGCATCCCAGTCTGCACCAGCAACATCCCTGCAGCTTCCAGCACTCAGTGATTGACCACATGGTGTTACCCATCCTAAACCTGTGCCTTTTCCAGGTGAGATTTGCCATTTTTCTGGCACAAGAGGATCAGGCAAAGGGAAGGGTCTGTCCCCAGCCCTGCTAAGCCTTGCTTTGATTATGCCCCTGCTGTGCTGAGCTTCCATGCTGGGTGTGGGAGAGGCAAAGCCAATCCCTGGAAGCTCAGTGAGTCCCCTCCTCTGCTGGACTCCTTCCACCTCTCCTGCACCTCCTGCTCTGGCCATGGTGGCCCAGGCTGGGATGTCTCAGGTCACAGTACTCATTTCCTAGTTCTGTTTAAATGGGATGGTGTTTAGATGTAACACATCCAGCTGATTAAACACCATCCTATCTGCACCCAACACCAGATCCTATTCTTGAATAAAATGGATCCAGAAACCAGTTATAATTGAATCCTATAATAAACTTTAATGATTTTTATTATTACTATGTCAAAGTACTTGGCAGCACTATGTCTGCCATGGCCAGCTGGCTCCCCTCTGCTCTGTGAGTGGTTCCCGGGGTGCAGGGCTGTGGAACCATTGCTGTTCTCAGCCTGGCTCCAGGCAGGAGCATGCACCGGACAGGACAGACACCATTTTGTTCTGCCATCCAGGTGCTTCAGCCTGGAGAAGGCTCTAGGGAGACCTCAGAGCATCTTCCAGTACTTAAAGAGGCTCCAAGAGAGCTGGAGAGGGACTTTGGACAAGTGCCTGGAGTGACAGGACACAGGGAACGGCTTCCAACTGACTGAGGGCAGGGTTAGACGGATATTAAGAAGAAATTCTTCCCTGTGAGGGTGGTAAGGCCCTGGCACAGGCTGCCCAAAGAAGCTGTGGCTGCCCCATCCATGGTAATGTCTAAGGCCAGGCTGGACAGGATTTGGAGTCACTGGAGTAGTGGAAATGACAGGGTGGATCGGGAAGAGCTTTAAGATCCTTCTAATCCAAACCATTCTCTACCATTTTCTCCCAGATATTATTTCCCTCACCCTCCACAAGCTCACTTTAATGCCTCACAAGCCCAGGCACCATATCCCCCCAGGGGTCTGCGGCTGTCCCCCAAGCATAGCCAAGGTCCCTGAGCCCCGGATGGGGACAGGGAGCCCCAGGTCCGTGCCCCATTCCCCTGGTGCACCCGGAGGCCATAAACCCTCGGGGTCTGTCTGGCCAGGGCACAACGCTCTAGGTAGACCTGGACCGACCATGACTCCAGGGACAAACAAAAGGGCCTGGCCACAAAGGGCTCCGCCAGCTCCAGGCTGTTGTTTCCAACGGCTTCCACCACACGTGCAGCCAATTAGAAGTTAATTGACTTTACAGTTTGCTTAGAAACATTTAGAGTTTGCTCACTTCTTTTGGAAAGCCAGGAGCAGCCGGGGGTCCAGGATGTTCTCCTCAGGCTCCCAGCTGTTGTGCCTGCAACAGAGGACACGGACCGGCTGAGAGCAGGGGGCCGGACCCCCCCCGCCGTTCCGGCACCGACGGGGCACCGGGGGCTTCCCCCAGGGACACCCGGGCCTGGCACGGACCGGGGCATGCCGGTACCGGGGGCCGGCACAGCCGGGGGGCGGGCAGGGGAGAGGGGCCGGGGGAGGGAGATCGGAAAGGGGGCGGCCACGCCGCCGCGGGGCGAGGCGAGCCCCGCGCATCCCGGGGGAGCTCCGGTTTCAGCACAGCGGGCGAGGGGCCGGCACAGCCGGGGGGGTGCGGCGACTCCGGGGGGGGGCTGCACCGGCCCGGGAGGGGGGAGCGGAGCCCCACGCGGTGGCGGGGAGGGCCCGGCCGCGGCCGCGCTTATTTGTAAACAAAAGGAGCGGCACGACCCAAACAAAAGCGGCCGGGCGGGCGGTACCCGCGCTCCGCACCGCACGCCGCTCCGCACCGCATGGTTCCGCAATCCGCGCCCCGCACCGATCCGCGCCCCGCACCGCCCCGCTCACTTGGAGGACCAGCCTCGCCACTTGACCAGGTACTCCAGCTTGCCCTGCGGAGAGAGACGGGAGAGAGGCGTTAGCGGCGGCGGGGGGTGCGGGGAGAGCGGGGGGTGCGGGGGCGGCGGGTCCCACCTTGCGGAGCCGCTTGCTGAGGATGCACTCGGCGGCGAAGACCTGCTCTCCCACGCTGCTCAGCTCCTCCATGGCCCCGGCCCCGCGCACACCCCCGCGCACTCACACACAAGGGGAGCCCCCGGGCGCGCCCCCGACGGCGGCCGCGCGCGCTCCGACCCCCCCAGATCCACGCGCGCCCCCCGGCACAATACGGCGGAGGGGCGGGCGGGGGGTCCCCAAATTCCCCGCCGGCCAATGGGGAGCGGGGGGCGGGGCGATCCGGCGTGGGGGGTGGGGGGAGGCATTGTCTGTGTGCGACCCCTCCTCTTCCTCCCGCGCGGGGGCGGCCGCAGCCCGGCCGGAGCGGGGACAATGGGGTGGCCCGGCCCGGGGCTTTGTTTGCCTAGGCAGCGCAGGGGGCTTCCCCGGCCGGCCCCCGCGGGGATCCCCCCGGTCCGACCCCTCGAGGGGTTCCTGCTGCGAGGAGCCGGGCTCCGAATCCCCCGCCCGGGGTCCTTCCTGGGGACAAAGCACCCTGGGGCCAGGGCAGCCGGCGCCGGTCCCCGCCGGTCCCCGCCGGGCCGGAACAGGCGGCAGCAGCACCGGCACGTTTCAGTCCTAAAATAGTTGCTTATAATAGAATAAAAGATTTCCCGGGGGGGGGCCCGGTTGTGACCCTCGCGCGGTGCCGGCTCGCAGCTCGGTACCGCCCGGCCCACGATCCCTCCCGAGCCGCGCTACCGGGGGTGCGGCGGCACCGACCGCGCCGGCACCGCACGCACCGGGGCGTGCAGGGCTGCGTGAGGAGCTGCTGCACGGCGGTTGTGCGCTGTGGGCGTGGAAGGATGAAATATGGTGCTTTACAGGCATGGAAGAAGATGAGTCAGCACCTCAGGGAGTTCGCCGCCGCGGGCCCGGAGCCTGCCGTTAACCGTGCGGGAGCCGCAGGGATATGAATTGCCGTCGCCCCGGCGCCTGGGTGCCCGCGGCGCGCAGGGACTGAGCAGGAGCCGGACGGGCCATGGGGTGTCCTGCGTGGGGCCTCGCCCGCACCCCGGGCACTGCCGTCTCCGGTAAGCGATGCCGGGTTTAGCGGTGCCGGGTTTAGTGAAGCTGAGTTGAGCAATGCCGGGTTTAGCGATGCCGGGTTTAGTGGTGCTGGGTCATTTGGAGCAGCAGCGGGTGCGTTGGCTGTCCCCGTTGCGGGGGGAATGTCACCACGGGGGACCCTCTGAAGGAGGCAATGAGAGGCTGGAGTCAGGAGCGGGACTGCTCGGGCACCGCGGGATGTGGACGTGCCTGGGGTGCTGGGTCCATGCCAGGGGGCTGTCTTGGGTCGGGCGCTGTCACCTTTCATTTTCTTTGACAATTACCGTGGCCGTTCGCTGATGAGCTGTAGGAGCGGTTTTTTAGCCGAAGGTGACACAGAATTGTAACAGCGCCGCACTTTTTGTTTGAGTTCATTTACCTTCTGCCAGCTCGGCTCTTTGTGTGTGACACCTCTGAGATTTTAGAAGCTCTGTGTGACCTCCCCTCACCGTGTGCCTGAGCCGTGCACAGCCATCCCAAGGGATGAGGAGCCGTGGGGCTCTCCTGGCTGCAGGGATTCGCCTCTCAGAGACGACCCCTCTTGGGAATGAGCCCTGGTTCGGTTGATGCTGGGTGAGCTCCTCTCCCAGCCGCCCCTCAGTGCTGCTGTTCCTCTGCTCCCCACGAGGATGCTGGGCTGGGGTCGCTGTTCTCTGCCCTCCCGGGGCCAGGAAGGGGAGGCCGTGTGAGTGGAGAGGCTCCATCCGCTGGCTGCTGGGCTGGCGAGGGGCTGGGCTCAGAAGTGGGAGCAGCCCTGGACGTTTGTGTCTCCTTAGGGATCACAGTGTTTGTGGGGCTGTGCCATCAGCACTGTCCCTGGTCCCTTGTGAGGACTCTGAATGATCCCTAATGCTGCTCATGCCACACGTCCTGTTCCTGCTGAGGGTGGAAAGGACCGTGCTGCTCACTGGGCTGGAAATCTCCTTTCTCCTCCCAGGGGTTTATTAACAACTGGTCCTGGGCAGTCCCTCGGCTGCCATGGGCTCTGTGCCTTTTACCCGTGGCAGAGTGTGGTACCCCAGGGCTTCTGGGATGTCCTGTTCCCTCCTGGTCAGTCAGAGGAGACCATCCCAGCCCTGGAGCTTCCCTGGGCGCTGCTGGTGGGAGCCCCCACTGGGGCTGCCCCTGCAGGGGCTGCTCACTGGGGTGGGATGAGATGACCCCCTGCTGCTGCCAAAGCTGTGGCTCCACCTGTGAGTGCCTTTTCCATGAATTCAGTGTTTCCCATCCCTGACAGGGACTTCACCTTTCTGGAGAAACTCAGCAACACGCACTGGATAACTTGGCCCCACGCTCCCACCAAGCAAAGTAACAGCAGGGCAAATAAATTCACCAATCACCATGAAAACCATCATCATCTTAAAAACGAGAGTCAGACCCCTGAACTAATCTGATGGAACATGATTTTGTAGCTTTTCCCAAGTAGGCCAGGCATCCCAGGAATGCCATGTGTCCTGTGTTGTGTCTGTAGCAGGGGCTGTCAGGCTGAAGTGGGGGTTTGGTGTTGAAGGAAGGGATGGGGATGGTCCGAGTCCCCTTTGTGTGTTGAGGGGGAAAGGGCTGTGCTGCTCCCCAGACTGGAAATCCCTTTAAACTGGGGTTTACTGGGAACTAGTTCAGGTCACCCCTGAGCTGCTGTGGGCTCTCTCCCATCCTGCCAGGCTCAATGAAGGACACGGCCGCTTTCCAGGGCCTGTGGAGCACGGAGCCCTGGCCTGGTAGGTGCAGGGTGGGGGTCAAGGTCCGGGGGGATCCAGGCCGTGGGGGTTCCCACAGGGTCTCTGTGTTGCTGCTGGACCCCCCAAAAGCAGATGCATTGCAGGGGTGCCCCGTTCCCTCCACTGCGCCGTGACCCCCATGCCGGGAGTGCCTGAGGGGGTGCGGGATGTCCCTGACCCCAGAGGGTGAGGCTGGGGCCAGCCCAGGGAACAGCCGGGCCATGGTGGCCATGTTTGTTGTGGACAAATGGTGGCTGTTTTCCCCAAGGCATCAGCCAATCAAAGCACAGAGATCTGCATCTCATTTGGGTACTGCAGCCGGGTGTGGAGCTGTGCAGCTTCCCAGGATGGGGTGGCCGGGGACCGCGTGGTGTCCGGGTCCTGTGGCCCTGTGCGGGAGTCGGAGGGGCGCGTGCCACCCCCAGAGCAGGCGTTTTGGGAGGCAGCAGTGTCCCCACACACTGTGTGCCATAAATAAATAAATACGTGTCCTTGTATGTTTGTTGTTATGTTCCCATCCCGGAGCGGCTGGGACCCCTGGGCAGCGAGCAGCTTCCCAGTGCAGGAAAAAGAAAAGGAAGCAAATGGTGTGGAAATGCATGGCAAATTGGGATGCAATACACAGCGGGGCTCTCCCTGCTGCGTGACCCCCAGCCCGGGGAGGGGGGCGGTGGGGAATGAATTACGTGGGGCCGGGAGGGCGGGAGGAGACGCGGGGATCCTGCAGAGGATGTGTCCGGGCAATGCCAGGCTGGGCTTTGCCTTTGTCATCGGGAAATATCTGCTGAAAATGTCCCACATTGCCCATGCACGAGGTGTGAGGAGCAACAGGAATGGCTGGGAAAGGCTCCAAGGACGTGCAAAATGCGACAGTTTGGGGTTTTCCTTGGAAGAGGCTGAGCTGGAGATGGCTCCTGTCTGGGGAGCAGGAGCTGGTTTAGGTTCTGTGTGTCTGTGGGATTAAAACTCGCACCCACAGCAGGGAGGATCCATCTCATCCGTCTGGCCTGGGACATGGAAGCATCCCCCAGCCCGGGCACGCAGTCAGGACTGGGAGGGGATGGTGACATTCCGGTGTGTGTCGTGGATCTTCGGGGCATCCCTTGGATCATCCCTGCGAGGGTGGTGCAGCCGGAGCTGCAGAGGGTGCTGGGGAGCGCCCCGGGCCCGGCGGCACCGCGGGTGGTTCCCAGGCTTTGTCCCTCGGGACGAGGAGCGGATCCCTCTCCGGGGCAGCCGCCGGGGCACCGCATGGCTCCGGGGCAGCGTCCGGTGCTGGGCGGGAGGTTGGTGGCTGCGGGCGCCGCGGCTTTGGGGAGATGCTCCGGGCCGCGCTTTCACCGTGAGCCGCTTCCCCCGCCGGTGCCGGGAGCTCGGGGGAGCTGAGCGTGGCTCGGGAGCCCTCGGCCGCCGGCTGCCGGTACTGCACGGGACACCGGGACACACCGGAACACCGGTACTGCACCGGGACATTGGGACATTGGGACACCGGTACTGCACCGGCAGGGACACCGGGACACTGCGACACCGCCACACCGGGACATTGCGACACCAGGACATTGGGACATTGGGACGCCGCCATACCGGGACACTGGGACACCAGCAGGGCGGGAGGCAGCGGGACAAGGGTACGAGGGGATGGAGGAACAGGACCAGCTCTTGGGCCAGAGGGGGGATCCCCCAGGTCCCACGTGCTCAGGAGCCCAGGGCTGGGGGATGGTCCGTGCTGGAAATGCGGCTGCAGCACGTACCGTGACCAGCGTGCTGCTTCCAGCCACCCCGAGTGGGAGCAGCCCCAGCGAGGTGTGTCTGGTGGCAATCCCTGTGACTGGAGGGCAGGGGAAACCCTCCTGCAGGGATGTGTCAGGGTTCAGCCTTTCTCTAGGATGGTCCCTTCCTCACCATGGATTTTTCTGGCAGAGCTCTGTCTCACCTAAATGCTGCTGGTTGAGTCAGGAACTCAATTCCTGCTCCCAGCTGAGGGAAGATCAGCTCTCAGATGAGGATTTGTGTCAGGAGATTGGTCACTACAAACTCCATGTTCCCTGTGTGGGTCTGGGAACCAGACTGGGACCAGCCCTATGAGCACTGTGGCTCTCCAGTACTTAAAGGCTTATAAAAAAGGGAGAGTGGCATTTTAAATGGGCAGAGAGTGATAGGACAGGAAAGTGGTTTTAAACTTCCAGAGGAGAAATTTAGGTTAAATGTTAGGAGGAAATCCTTCCCTGTGGGGTGGGCAGGCCCTGGCACAGGGTGCCCAGAGCAGCTGGGGCTGCCCCTGGATCCCTGACAGTGCCCAAGGCCAGGTTGGACATTGGGGCTTGGACACCCTGGGACTCTGGGGTGTCCCTGCCATGGCAGGGGTGGCACTGGATGGGCTTTGAGGTCCCTTCCAACCAAAACCATTCCATGAGTTTGTGATCCTGCTGTATGCCTGCTGGGCATGAAGACGGTCAGAACCTGGTACCAGCAGGTTCTGAGCTCTGCAGGCTCTGCCAGGATCTCCAGGGTACCAGCAGAGCTGGCTGCCCCTGCCCGTGGCTGTGCTGACCTGCCAGGGAAGCCCCAAGGTCACCAGCAGGAGAGCTGGGGAGGTTTCTGTGCACACTCTTATCATTTAATACCATTTTCAACAGCGTGCACAGCACTGGCCACGCTCCCCTTTCAGAGCCTCCCTGCTGCTGCTGCTGCCCTGACCCCCACCCCAGCAGCGTTTCAAGCCAAACATTTTCTTCCTGTTTTTCTGAGGGTGCGGCTCTTGTTTCATCTCGTTGGGTGAAGCCGATGCAGTGAGAGAGTCTCTATGGCAACAGATGTTTATCGAGCCCCTGAGATGAGGCACAGAGCTGGGGAAAGGCACCACAGCATCTGGGAGGGGTCTGGGGGTGCTGGAATGTCACGCTGGGAGGGCTGGAGTGGGGGCTGCAGGATGGGGGGAGTCTTGCTCCCTGTCCCCTGAGCGCCAGCCTGGCTGAAGGACCCTGGGCTGCTTCCTGCAGAGAGAGGTTTGGATTTGTATGGGGGCTTTTACCTCAGCCCTGCTGGGGAGAGGTCCTGGAGCCTGGCACAGCCGGCCCAGGCTCTGCCAGCCCCTGGCTCAGGATTCACAGGGCTGTTTGCTGTGAGCTGGGGGGTCTTGGCCCTGGCACTGCCACATTCCCTGTCTCTCCAAAAGACACCAACGCCCCTCCCAGAACTCCCAGGAGCTGACTCGGTTGCAGCTAGGGCAGGTCTCAGCCATGGAGCAGAGCAGCCAGGCCCATCCT